CAATGGAATATTATTCAGCCATAAGAAGAAAACAAATCCTACCATTTGCAACAATATGGATGGAGCTAGAGGGTATTACGCTCTGTGAAATAAGCCAAGTGGAGAAAGACAAATACCAAATAATTTCACTCATATGTGGAGTATAAGAACAAAGAAAAACTGAAGGAACAAAACAGCAGCAGAATCACAGAACCCAAGAATGGACTAACAGTTACCAAAGGGAAAGGGACTGGGGAGAATGGGAGGATAGGGAGGGATAAGGGCAGGGAAGAAGAAAGGGGGTATTATGATTAGCATGTATAATGTGGGGGGTGGGGGAAAGGGGAGGGCTGTGCAACACAGAGAAGACAAGTAGTGATTCTGCAACATCTTACTACTCTCATGGACAGTGACTGTAATGGGGTTTGTGGGGAGGACTTGGTGAGAGCCTAGTAAACATAATGTTCTTCATGTAATTGTAGATTAATGATAACAAAATAAAAATAATAAAATAAATAAAAAAATAAAATGAATGAAGCTCTAACACGTGCTACAACATGGGTAAACTTTGAAAACATTATGCTAAGTGAAAGAAATGAATCACAAAAATTTCCATATTATATTATTTCATTTATATGAAATGTCCAAAACAGTCAAACACATAGAAACAGAAAGATTAGTGATTTCCAGGGGCTGGGGGAAGGGGAAATAGCATTGCTGCTGATAGTATCGGGTTTCTTTTTGGGGTAATGAAAATGTTTGGGAATTAGATGGTGGCAATGGTTGCACAGTGTACTAAAAGTTCAGTATCTGGTTTATGTATATTAAAAACCAGTTAAGTATACATTTTAAAGTGTGAATATTATGGTATATAATTTGTATCTCACTAAAGCTGATATTTTTAGCACAGAAAAAAATCATATCTCAACAGATGTAGAAAACCAATTTTATAAAATTCAAAATCCATTGATGATTTAAAAAAACTACTTAGCAAACCAGAAATACAAAAGGTTTCCTTAATCTGACACAGAGCACCCATGAAAGTCCTTCAGTACAAATCATATTTAAAAGTGAAATACTGAAAACTTTCTCTCTGGCATAGTAGAAACAAAAGGCATAGTGATTGGAAGGAAGGAAAAAAACCCATTTGTAGATGACATGATGTGGACTTAGAAAATCTAAATGAATCTACAGAAACTATAAAAAATCAGTAACTGATTTGTTTATATACAAATAGAAAAACAAAATTTAAAGATACCATTTATAATAAGAAAAAATACTAGATACATATGAATAAATCTAAGGGAAGGTGTGCAAGATCTCTGTGGTTGAAATTATGAGACATCACTGAAAGAAATAAAAGAATAACTCATTAAAAATAGCTAACTAAAGATTACCATAGTATTTCATTTTTATGGGTTGGAAGACTCAATGTTGTAAAGCAATTCTCCCCAATTTGATCTATTTAATTCAATCCCAATTTTTAAAAAATAGCATTTGTGGAAATTACAAGGTAATTTGAAAATGCATATAAAATGCAAAGGGCCAAGAACACCCAAGCAGTATTTAAGAAGAAAAAAGCTGGGTGACTTACACTATTCCATATGAAGACTTATTTTGAAACTACAGTAACCCAGTTAGTGTGGCATTAGCTTAGTTCTAGGGTAAATAGATGGTCCAGACATAGACATATATGTAATCAATCACTTAAGTGATAACAAAGATGACATTACAGTGCAGAGGGGAAGGACAGTCCCCCACATAAGCAACAGGCAGTGGGTCATTGAATATACACACTGAAAAAACATTATTCTGTAGCTCTCACCATCCTGAAAATTGATTCCAGAATTATGGTAGATATAAATGTGAGTACTAAAACAATAAAGCTCTGAAAAGAAAAACTTCTATTTTGGGGTAAGCAAAGATGTCTTAAACAAGACACCAGAAATGAACCACAAAAGAAAAGTGATAATATGGACCCATTAAAATTAAAACCTTCTGTTCCATAATAGAGACTAATAAGAGGAAAGAGGCAAGCCACAGTGGGAGATCTTCACAATACATATGTCCAACAGATGACATATCCATACTGCATGAAGAGCCACAATAGAGAATAAAAAGACAGTCTACTTATTAAACAATGGGGAAAATACTGGGACAAACACTTTACAAAAAGATATTCAAGTAACCAAAAAAAATTTTTGAATTCAATTCCTCAGGAAAGTACGACTTACAACCACAAGAAGGTACCACAATACTACCATCAGAATTGCTAAAATGAAAAATCTGATAATTTAAGTGTTGGAAGAGGATTTGGAGCCAACTGCAACTTTCACACATAGTTGGCAGGAGTAAAAACTGGTAAACCACTTTAAGAAACTTTTTTACTGAACAAGCACAGGACCATGTTCAGTCAAAGACATGTGCAAGAATAGTCATAGCATCACTATTCATAATAGCTGGAAACAGCTCAAATGTCCATCAACAATAGACTAGAAAAATATATTGTGGAATCATCACATATTTCAATGCTGTACAACAATAAGAATGAGTGAACCACAAGATGAAAACATAATGAATTTCTCAAACATAATGTTAAGCAAATGAAGACAGATTCAAAGGGGGACATATTGCACTATTCCATTGACAGAAGTTCAGAAGTAGGCAAGATGAAGAAGATAAAGTCAGGAGAGAGATCTCTTTTGGGAGGGTGAGGTGACTAGGAGGGGGCTTGAAAGTGTTTCTGGGATGCTGCTCCCTTTTATGATTTGCTTCTTTCATTTAGCATGTTTTCACAATTCATCCATGTTGTAGCATGTAGCAGTATTTCATTTTTATTGTCAGTTAACAATCCACTGTATGAATATACTATTATTTTAAATCTATACATTAGTTGAGGGACAACTGGATTGTTTCCACCTTTGGATTATTATGAATAATGCTGCTATGAAGATTCATGTGCAAGTATTTGTATGATTTATTTCTTGATCTGGGTGCTGGTTACATGGGTCTGGTCTCTGTGATAAAATTGAATTGTACATGTTATTCATATCATCCTTGTATGAGTGGTATGCTTCAATATAAACTTTTCAAAATGCAATGAAACATATACACCTACATTGCTTTCCTTTTTCCTGTTGTGGTGAGAAGCAAATCCTGCCGGCATCTCTGCTTTTGGTTTGGTTTCTAAACTGAGAGCATTTGAGGAAATGGGGCCAGGAGGCGTTCACCATCCCCAGGATGGATTCACAGCCCTCTTTTGCAGCCTCACAGAAGGACTTACAGGGCAGGAGTCCATAACTGGAAGAAAAGAAAAGGTGAAAATTAATGTTTTTAGGACTACTTCTCTCAAAATAATAATGAAATCAAAGAGAAGTTGGCCAGCAGTGCTACAGTATTAATCTATGCTTACTATAGTCAACAACTTAAATTTCTACATTTAGTCCTAGAACAAGGCTTTCAGCCACCCTATTTCATGATTCTAGAGGGAATAAGCTAGTTCCATAACATACCATCTATCTCTTACAGAGAAGCATTTCTCCCCCAAGACTTTTTTTTTTAGATTTCCTGTGCAAAGTAACCTGCCCACCAAATAAGAGTTCTACTTAATATCAAAAGGAGTAAATTAACATGGAAATGAAAGCCCCCAAATTGGAGGCAGAAGTAGGACAAAATAGGTTAATCTCGTTTATCTTCCCTTTGAGAAATTCAGAATATCTCTGAGAGGCAGATAGAGAGCAAGCTGCTCCTTAACCTCCATGCCTCCTTGGAAAAGAGACATGCAGACAAGTGGCAGCTCAGTTATTTATCTACAACAATTCATACAGTTATTTATCTCCTCAGATTTCTCTTTTATCTTCGATAAAACAGAAAAATGCAAACTGTCTGTTAATGGGAAGAGGAATGATGCCCCCAGAGGCTGTCATTATTTATCTGACTACACCGCAGGATCCCCGGCTCTGTCTGGGAACTAGGCTGCTGCGGTGCCCAGGCTGTGGGCTTGTTCTCATGCACACTCAGGCAGCTTTTTCTACTTAGCAGCTGTAGACTGCATCCCGCACCCTAACTGGTGACCTGGCAAAGGCATTCCAAATGGTTTTAGGAAAGAAAATATACATGTCAGTCAAAGCAAAGCACCAACATCACAAACAGAGGGTCACTAAGATATCACACAGTCACACAGTATCAGATCTGTGGGAAATTTTAAACACCTTGTTCAAATTATTTGAGACAGGCTCAGGGAGGTTCTGGGATGGACTCAAGGTCACACACCTTCTTAATGACAGAAGTAGGAAAAGAATCCAGATGTTTTAATTTTCAGTCCATGTTCTATTCACCCATGTTGTCTAGACTGAAATAAAGATGTAATAATTGGACCATAAAAAATCCCTTGATCAAATAACCACATTCACAGTTCCCCAGTCATACATCTACAGATTACAGAAACATAATGGGATGTGCCAGCTACTGAGTTAAACTGACAGAATCTGTCAAAGAATCTTGGGAGAGAGGTCTTGTTATATATCTACTGTGGAAAAGGGTTACTTCACAATTACATTCAGATACAAATGCTTTTGACCTTCCTTTCAGAAACTTATCTTAAAACTGGATATCTTTTAGAATCCTGATATTCACACAATTAACTACCTACATTAATATGTAACTAAATTCGTTAGTGAAAATGTGGAAAGAGAGGTTTTACATTTGAGATTAGGTTCAGGACATAAAACATGAATTGGTTCAGGTAAGTATCTCAGTGTAAAGAAGACAATCCGACTGCCTTTCAGGAAATATATTAGATATTTGCAGGACTAAGGAAGTATCACTTAAATAACATTTCTAAACTTATTCCAGAGAAGTTAGAGATTGTATTGTCTCAAATAAAACTGGGGTACATGGTGGAGAATATGTTATTCCTATGCCAGGCTCTAAGGGCTGCTTCACGTGCATTAACTGATTTACTCTCACTACAGCCCTAAGAGGTAGGTACTATTACACCCATTCCTAATATACAAATAAGGAAAATGAAGGAAAAATAAAAGGCCTGTACAAGGTCACTGAGGTACATAGTGTAAGAGCCAGGACTGAAACCCAATGACCCATTCTATGAGCTGCCCTTTCACATGAGACCTTACTTCAGGACTGTATGTTCCAAGAGCACAAGTCAAGGTTATTTCATTACTTGATATGCACTTTCTCAGCAGACTAACCACATGCACAGTGGTTGGGTTCTCTCCACATTCTACAAACTCCCAGGTAATCTGCACTGAAGCAGGATTTGCCAAAGAGCTAAGGAGCACAATGGAAGGGTGAAGTCATTTCTCTTTCTTTTCCAGGCGTGAGGGAGCCCAGAGAGAACCTGCAAGATTGGCTTGACTTCAGCATTCATCCTTTGCCCTCTGGTCCCTGATCTGGGTCCCGGTTTCTGATACCATCCTGAGCACCCCCACTCCAACATCCCACTTAGATGGCCACCTCCACCACAACATTACTTGCTCTTAAACTCTTCTTTCCTACCTCCAATCAAAACTACATTCCCCAAGTGAGCAGATCACAGTTAATGCTTTCAAAGAAGAAAAGAGATGAAACTAACAGAGTAATTGATGACAGACACTTAGCCCTCCAAAAGGTTTTTGCATCTTTAGAAGACAGCTAGAGCGAAGGAATCTCTGATGGAATTCCAGGTACCATTTATGAGGGAAAATGGGGTAGGGGAGATAGCAGCAAAGCTAATATTTGGGGCTCAACTCTCCCAGGTGGTTCCTGGACGTTCCTCATTTCTGAACCCATATATTTTTGGATCACTTCACACCTTCTCTCAGAATCTTCTGTATTAAGAATAATGAAGGTCCGTGCAGAGACCTGGCAAACTGTTTTCATGTTCTAAGCCTGAGTTTTAACTCAGAAGCTGACTTACTATCATTGACTCTCACCACGATCATTTATGCAGGAAAGCCTACACCTAACACCCTATAACTTTCCCCTGGCCACCTCTCACTGTCTGATCACTCACACCAAGACTCAGTTTCCTTATTTGGAAAAGGGAGGTTTAGAAGAGATGATTTTTCATGGTCCTTTTACCAGTAACATTCTGTAAATCAAAATCCATTCATTAACACAATGCTCAGAAGAGCAGTGATAATCCCACCAGCTTTGCTAAATTTCAAAAGGTAACAGACTTTTTTTTTTGAGATTTGTTCTGGGAATATATAGAGACATTAAAATACCATTAGACCTTCTATTCTAAAAATAGGGCCAAGAAAAATGTCTAGAGTGTTTCCAAACAGCTCTCTGAAGAGGTGTAAATAACCAAGACCCATGAGCTTTACATGGCTGGACCAGGACATGTGAAATAGAGTATTAATAACTATCTGCCCTTTAGCAAAGTGTGCAAAATGATAAGCCATTTGTTCTTGCTTTGCATGTAATCTAACTGGCTTTGAGGGGTTGAAGTATTTTGCTTTTCATCACATAGAACAGTTTGGTAAGACAGACCACACTATTTTAGAATATAAGTGTCTATATCCAAGCAACAGCAGATTGGCATCTGAAAACAGTGCTTAGCACAGGAGAGGAGTCAGATTTGGCTATCAGAATTCTATTTTAGAAATGGTGATTATTTTTAAGTGATATATGAAGTGCACTTGGTGTTGTACAGAAGTCCCTAACAGAGTTCAACTAAAGTTAAAGCAGAAAACTTAAACTGGTAGATCTACCAAAAATCTGGTTTACTTGTGAAAAAAAATCACAGATTTTTTCTTTACTGTACCCTTTGACCAACATCTCCCCCTTTCCCCAAAAACATATAGGTTTTATATGCAAAAAATGTTCTGATAAAGAAATAAGGTAAAAATTATTGAATAAACTACAGTCATAAAGTAAACTTATATAGTTATGCATTTTTAAGTTTCACAAATCATTTTTTATGACTTTTTACTTGGAACTACTTTTTGACTTACAGAAAAGTATATTTATCTGACTACACCGCAGGATCCCCGGCTCTGTCTGGGAACTAGGCTGCTGCGGTGCCCAGGCTGTGGGCTTGTTCTCATGCACACTCAGGCAGCTTTTTCTACTTAGCAGCTGTAGACTGCATCCCGCACCCTAACTGGTGACCTGGCAAAAGCATTCCAAATGGTTTTAGGAAAGAAAATATACATGTCAGTCAAAGCAAAGCACCAACATCACAAACAGAGGGTCACTAAGATATCACACAGTCACACAGTATCAGATCTGTGGGAAATTTTAAACACCTTGTTCAAATTATTTGAGACAGGCTCAGGGAGGTTCTGGGATGGACTCAAGGTCACACACCTTCTTAATGACAGAAGTAGGAAAAGAATCCAGATGTTTTAATTTTCAGTCCATGTTCTATTCACCCATGTTGTCTAGACTGAAATAAAGATGTAATAATTGGACCATAAAAAATCCCTTGATCAAATAACCACATTCACAATTCCCCAGTCATACATCTACAGATTACAGAAACATAATGGGATGTGCCAGCTACTGAGTTAAACTGACAGAATCTGTCAAAGAATCTTGGGAGAGAGGTCTTGTTATATATCTACTGTGGAAAAGGGTTACTTCACAATTACATTCAGATACAAATGCTTTTGACCTTCCTTTCAGAAACTTATCTTAAAACTGGATATCTTTTAGAATCCTGATATTCACACAATTAACTACCTACATTAATATGTAACTAAATTCGTTAGTGAAAATGTGGAAAGAGAGGTTTTACATTTGAGATTAGGTTCAGGACATAAAACATGAATTGGTTCAGGTAAGTATCTCAGTGTAAAGAAGACAATCCGACTGCCTTTCAGGAAATATATTAGATATTTGCAGGACTAAGGAAGTATCACTTAAATAACATTTCTAAACTTATTCCAGAGAAGTTAGAGATTGTATTGTCTCAAATAAAACTGGGGTACATGGTGGAGAATATGTTATTCCTATGCCAGGCTCTAAGGGCTGCTTCACGTGCATTAACTGATTTACTCTCACTACAGCCCTAAGAGGTAGGTACTATTACACCCATTCCTAATATACAAATAAGGAAAATGAAGGAAAAATAAAAGGCCTGTACAAGGTCACTGAGGTACATAGTGTAAGAGCCAGGACTGAAACCCAATGACCCATTCTATGAGCTGCCCTTTCACATGAGACCTTACTTCAGGACTGTATGTTCCAAGAGCACAAGTCAAGGTTATTTCATTACTTGATATGCACTTTCTCAGCAGACTAACCACATGCACAGTGGTTGGGTTCTCTCCACATTCTACAAACTCCCAGGT